TACAATTGCATGGGCAGGATAATGCGTACATTTCTTACCAAGCATTGCAGCCTCCTCCTTTGTTTACCCTTCCCATCCCTTCCCAGCCTCCCCCCTCCCCCCTACTTTTTGTCTTCTTATTCCTCCTCCTTCTCTTCTGCTTCCTCTTCCTCTTTTTCTTCTTTCTCCTCTTCCTCCTCCTTTATTTTGTGCCAGTACTCCCAGATTTGTCTGCCCCTGTTGGCTTTGAACCACAACCCTTAGGTCTCAGTCTCCTGAGTAGTGACTTTGTAAAGGGGTGTTCAGCTTAAGTTTTACGATTGAATTCTGTTTACTGTGGTCAAGGAAAGTGGGGTTGTGTGGGTTAGATTCTTTGATGGGGGTCTCAGCCACCTCTCTGTGAGCACATTTGTTAGTAGCGTTGGCGAGCAGGTTCTGTGCACATAGTGCTTGTGTGGCCAGGGACAGCTGCTGGACTTGGTGATTCTGCCATGTGATGCAGGACTCACCTCCTCCTGCATTCGGGAGCACACTCATCTCCTGGCAGGGGAGGCTGGCCCAGTGGCTCGTGGCAAGTCTCAGCCACAGAGACCCATTGTTTCTGACTGTAACTGGCCCAGGCTACCAGTGACTCAGCTGAGTTACAGCAGGGGATGTGGGTCTGGTGGTGAAGTGGAGGTTTGGGCACTGATGGGGGAGAGCATTAGTGTTCATAATACATTGTCTTCTCTTTAGGTAAACCTTAAAATGAGAGAGATAACAGAGAAAGAAGTTAAATTGAAACAGCAGTTACTGGAAAGTCCAGCTCATCAAAAGGTAAAGAGTAAATGTAATTTCTCCGGATTACACTAAGTTAATGTTCCTAGTTCTAGAGTTTCGTTTGTAACTACTATGTGATTTACTTGTATTCTTCGAGTCTCTGGGTGGGCTGTTTTGCTGCCTCCATGAGGAGCGAGTGGTCACAGACAGTCTCCGTCTTCCCCGGCAGAGGGGTTGTGGTTGTTCAGCGGTAGGAGGGTGTGGGCTTCTGGGAAGAGCGGGGTGGCTTGTAAGTAGGGGGTCGGATACCTGGCAGAGTGGAAAGGCAGCGAGCAAGGAGGAATTGCCTGGTGCTCATGGTGCCTGTGCGGATCCTGAAATGGCCCTTGAGGTGCAGTGGCTGTGGGTGTCAGTACAGATTGCCTGTGTCTTGGGAAGGTGCACATAGTATGTTCCCTGTTTGGGGCATTGGTCTCTTCCCCGGCATCATTTTTCCTTTGCCTTGGGACTTAGTTTCCCTCAGTTAAGTGGACGTAGTAAGTGCAGACAGGCGCAGCAGGGCTGTCTACATGGGCTTGCACTGGGAAGTGAGGTGCCGCCTCACTTCCTCCGCCGGCCTGCTTAGGTCAGGCCTTGGCAAGTGACTGCCTGGCGTGCACACAGCACACACATGGGCACAGGCCAAACTCCTGAGTCAGATGGAAGTCTTCCTTGGCCCCTGGCCTTGCCCATGTTCTGAGTTATTCTTGGTTCTGCGAAGGAGAGTGTGTGGAGGGATGGGCTCCCTGTTGCCGCAGTGTCCGGAGGGCGTGTGCTCTGGAAAGCCTCTGCTTCCCAGAGGCTGTCCTGCCTCTGCGGTGTGAGCACATGGCCCCGGCGTCCCTTGACCAGCTCTGCTGACCTTCCTCTCACCTTCCTTCCCGCTTCCCGAGCAGTCTCCCTCCAAGTGGTATTGGAAGTTAGTGCCCGTAAGTGACCCAGCTGCCAGCCGCCGTCTGCAGAGACATCCTGTTGCCGTCATACGCTTCCATTCAGATCGCTCGCACCCAAACTAGTTTTCATTTATTTTGTTTGTTTTGTTTGTTTGTTTTTGTTTAAATGTCCACTTTCTCCAGTGTGAGCTATGACCTGGCTGGGCTGAGTGGGCGCTGTAATGTGGCACTTTAGAATCCTTAGCTGGATTTTGCCCAAGCTCTTATTGACTTCTCTTAAGTGATCAGTGTAGTGTAATGATGGGGCATTCTCTTCTTTCTGGTAGACATTGCAAGGACTCTTTATGCTTCATTCTTTTAAGAATGGTATTTAACATGACCTTCCCTGGTACCCCTGTTGTGGGTTCAAGTAGATTTCAGAGAGGGCTTTTGCTGGCTTTTCCAGTTCCCTGGTCCTCCTCCTGTGGCCTCCCTCCCTAGGTTTGTCCAAAGTGGGGAAGTGTGTGTCTGCGCTTCTAGGCTGGGATCTGAGTTTCTCAAGGGTTTCTGGAGTTAAAGGCGAATTTCCACAGATAGGAAAGGAAGTTAAAAATGGATTTGGTTCAGCAGTTTCCCCTTGTGCGCCACCTGGTGGCCCATTTTGGAAGTGGAGCAGTTGCACAGCACTGTAGAAAACACGTTTTCATAGGAGTTTTTGGACACCAGTCTTTCTTAGACTGTGTTGATGTGCCCCTTTGTTTGCCTGGATATTGATGGATCTCCACGACTTGGCTCTGGTAGCGTTTACTTTGGGCTCCTTCCTGAGGGGCTCCTGTGGCATGGCTGCCTATGGCCCATCCGAACCTGACCATGCTTCCTGTTGAAGGCCACCTTGCTTCTCTTTGCCTACTTTAGTGAGAACAAGGAGGAAAACATGTTTAATGAGTAATGACATCTGTTAACATCTTGAGCCCTGAACATGGTCGGGGCAGAGGCTCCCAGAAAACTCGGCTGTCTTATATAAAGGAAGTATGGTTTCAGATGACTTTGGTGAAAACAGATAAAATGTGAGCACCCACAGTGCCGTGACTGTCCTCCCATGGCGTCGGCACACAGGGCATGGAGACAGAGTGGGGTCAAGACTGACAGGCTGTGCCCGAACGCCTTACGGCTAGAGGTTTGGAAACACGGATGAGCAAGGCAGTCATGTGAGACCCTTGGGTCCTGCAGCTCAGTGTCAGCCTGATTTTACCCCACGCCATCCATCTTTACTCAAGAAACCATTTGCTTTACTGCATGACTGCTTGCTCCTGTGTCTGCCATCTCTGTGGAAGCCTGGCCTGGCGCATGCTGTGGTGCACTGCATGCTGGAACCCGTGGACTTTGCACGTGTGGTACAGTATGAGGCGGGTTCTCTGTTGTAGTGCGTGCCATGGAGTCTGAGAAACAAGTTAAAGTGTGTTAGAACTTTTTTAAAAAACATATAACAAGCCTTATCTTTAAATTTGAAAGAATTTTTGGGCTGGTGTGGAGTTCAGTGGTAGATTACTTGCCAAGCCACATGTCAGACTCTGGGTTTGATTCCCGCACTATAAAACAACAACAGGAGATTCGTAAGAAATGTTTTCTGGTAAGCATACTTACTGAGATAGCAACTTGAAGTCCTAGGTTGTTGAGATACTTCTTCAAGTTGGTCTCATCTGCAGAACGCTCAGGACTCCTGAGTCACTGTAAGTGGCTGGTTTTCGTTCTCTGGTTGCACCATGCATGCTCCCTTCGGAGGACACGCAGTACGTTAAAGCAGTACGGGGTGCCGACGCCACAAACAGCAGTGCGGTATGACCTCGAGACGTCTCTGCTGAGCTCCCTGGGGCTGCAGGAGCGGAGCTGGGGGCTGGCAGAGACAGTGTCCAGACACAGGGCTTCCTCCAAGCGTAGCGCTCCGGAGGCTTCAGACGGATCCATGTACACTCAGTTCAGTGGCCTTCCTTCCCACATGCTTTGTTGCAGTTCTTAGAGCCGTTCCTGGTTACAGAAGGAAACAATTTGTCTAACCAAGTTTCTGAACTTTCTCAAACTACATACTAACACTGTCTTGTAGTTTTTTAATGGCCAAGGTTACCACTCATGGTACTTAGCCTGGTATTCCAAGCATTGGATTTTCACCACTTAACTTGTTTCTCATTAGTTTTTAGTGTGTTGGCTTTTGGTAGTATAGCTGTACGTCTGCCTCCTCCTGTGTGTGCCTACCACCACTAGTGCCAGTGTGGCGTTAGACTGGCCCTGGTGGTGCTGGCAGCGAGCTGCTGCCGGGCAGTACGGTGGAGGCACACAGTCTGTCCCTGGACTTGACCGGCCTATGTGTTCTTGGCAGTGAATGTCATGTAGGCACTCGGAACTTTTCCAGGTGATCATAACTGTTCATGTGTCTCTAGGCTCTGTGTGAATTCTTGCTACAGCAGTGTGCCTGTAATGTACATGGGGGTGAAGCGACCTCACACGCAGAGACCATTTTCCTTTTATCAACTGCAGGTCCGCTATCGGCGAGAGCACCCTTCTGCTAGGCAGTCACCCTACTTCCCGTTGTTGGAGGACTTGATGAGAGACGGCAGTGATGGCGCTGCTCTCTTAGCGGTGGTTCACTATTACTGCCCAGAGCAGATGAAACTGGATGGTGAGTGGAGAATGCACCCCTCAACAGCCCTGGAAGGCCAGTGAAAAGCTTCAGTGTGTGCTGAGTGTCCCCAAATCAAAGGGAGCGAGGAGCCCCCGAGCACTGTGTCCGTGGGAGCGCTAGCACAGACCTGCATCTTAGCTAACGCGGATGTTGCCCGTGAATGTATTTGTACTTTACCTGTGTCTCCTCATGAGCCTCCGATTGATTCCAACTCCTAGAACTTAGGTTGTGGATGTGGAAGTCAGTGCTGAGTTCAGTCTGTTTGTAGAGCATTTCTGAATGCCTGGCGTGTGACAGCCCGGTGCCACTCCTGTGACAGCCCTGCCCTCGGGTGCTTCTGGGTGGAGTAAAGATCCACAGGGTCACAGGGCCAGCGGCTCCCAGGGTGCTGGGGACTACAACTGTGTAGGTGCATCTGGAGTGGGCAGGTGGAAGGTTAGCGGTGTGTCCCTGACGAGTGTTCACACCAGAGCGTTGTCTCACACGTCCACCCTGGTGGCTGGGGTAGACTTCCCACTTCAAGAACAGGAGTGCCAGGTCTCACAGATGGTCCACACAAAATCGTCTTATAGATCCAGAGCTGCTCTTGAAAGACAAGGGCGGGTGGGGAGCCCAAGGCTCCAGGAGGGGTACCCACCATGAGTATATGGGCACCTGGGCCTGTCTGTGGGCTTGAGTCTTTATGTTCACCTTGGGGATGGTGTGTGTCAGCCTTTTGGCGAAAGAGTTACGAAGGCTCTCCCTCCGTCCAAGCCAGCTCCCCAGGTGCGATGTCTAGGGGCCAGGAGGGAGTGGGTGGAAGGGAGGCTGAGAGGCAGCTCCCCCACATGGCATAGGAATGCCAGGGGAGAAGGGTAGGGTCTGAGTTTGGGGTAGAGTTTCACTGACCCAGCACTTGCCCAGCATGCACACAGCCCTTCTGAAAGGGAAGGTCTAGGACTAATGACACTGTAAGGATTCTCTCACAGCACTACTGCTGGGAACATTCTAGAAACCATGCTTTGTAAGGAAACAGCCTTTCACTGATTGACAGTGCCACGTCAGGCCTCATACCCAGGTGGGTGGACAAGAACACAGTGTACACCGTGATGGAGGTCCTGGAGGGGAAAGAGGCTGTAAGGAAAAAGGGGTGGCGACCGTGGCTCCTCCTCCACTGCAGCTGTGTCCTTGGCTTCCCCACCTCTCGCTGTCCCGCTGTGGGGGCACTGTCGGGCCCACCATGCAGCTCGCCAGTGCCTATTCAGCATAGCCACCTCGCAGCCCGGCCACTGGGGACAGACTCCATACACGGACAGAACTGCAAGGAGGAGCTGACAGAGCCACACATCACTTCACAGAAACTGACGGAGGAAAAGTGTTTAGGAAGACCATAAAAGACTTGAACACAAAATAAAGCTTGCACCTGTCAGCGTACCAACCATTGTGGCACATGCCTTCCTAAAAAAATAAACCAGGGCTGGCCCTGGCCACTCACACCATAACCTAGCTGTTCAGGAAGGTAAAGTGGTTTGAAGCCAATATGGGGAGGGAAAGTTCATGAGACTCTTACCTCCAGTTAACCACCTCCCCACCCCCACCCCCATAAAAAACTAAAGTTTGAGCCATGGCTCAAGTGGGAATAGCACCCAGGTCCTGAGTTCAAACTCCAGGACTGGCAAAAAAAGGAAAATAAATAAGTACATATGAAAGCCGCTAAGGAAACCCTGACAGATCCCAAAGCATTAGTACATCTCCCTGTGCAGGTTAGAAGTTGGTACATAGGTGTGACCTTTGTCTACACTCCTCTGAAGCAAGAGTGGAGCTGGGACCAGAGACGGCGGCTGTTTGCAGATGTGCCGTGGGCCACAGAGGATGTGAGTGGAGTTGCTCCTTGCGTGCTGCCAGGGCAGCCGCTCTTACCTCTGCTGTTCCTGACATAGCCCAGCCATCGGAAGTAACACTTGGGCACAAATGTTAGCTTACCAGAACTTGCAGGATGGTTGAAGGGGATGTAGTCGGGGTATGTTGCCTCAAGTCCACACTTTGGAATTAATGAATTATGTTTATTGCAATGCATTAGAAAAGAAGTATTGTCAAAGAAAGCTGAAGGAATGGCTGGGCATGGTGGTGCATGCTTGTGATCCCAGCCACATGGGAGAGGCAGGAAGAGCTTGAATTTAAAGCCAGCTACAGCAAAGTTACTATCTAAAAGCAAGAAATGCTGGTGGTATAGCCCAAGTGTTAGAGAGTGCATGTAGCATGCATGAACCCCTAGGCTCAGTCCATAGTACTGCCCCAGACCAAAAATTTGAAAGAGGAAAAAATGCTTATTTCTCTAGTAAAAATCACTTCAAAACAAAGCAGGCAAGCAACTGTGTTGCAAGTCCCATGGTGGATAAAACTTAGACATATCTTCACTCTGAACAGCAGACCCAACTGATGAGAAAGCAGAACGGAAGGGCGAGGTGGCTCACTGCTAGACTCCTGGAGCTGTAAAGTAAAAGCTGTGGCACACTGGTGCCTGGGAGTATCTTTGAAAGTTGCTCTGAAGAGTAGGAAGACTCCAGGTCTCCTCTTTCCTAGCTAGCATGAGGTTGGGGTAGGGTACGCCGTTTGGTGGCCAGCCACCGGGGCAGGACGGAGGAGCGATGCTGGCTCACCTGCGCCGCCAGCCTTCCTCCCAACCAGTCCCCTGCAGCACAGCCCGCTTCCTGATGCTTCTCTCCTGACCACAGAGGACGCGCAGGTGTCCGCAGATCCCGCCGTCTGAGGAAAGCCCTGACCAGAATCAGCACCCCCACCACACAGACAGTGTCAAACAAGATGCAGGGGTGAGAGGGACTGGAAAAGAGTGCGTAGAACACATTGAACTGCTGGGTCTGGAATTACTTCTTAGAGAGGTCCACAGAGGGGTGTGTTTGGTTGTGCCAAAGTGTAAGAATGCACTGAAGAGCTAGAAGACAATTGGAGAAATTGCTCAGAAAATAGACCCCCTCCAAAAAAAAAAGACATGGGAAAGGGTAGAAAATACAGAGGACAGTTATAGGAAGTTAGAAAAAGCAGGAGGATGCAGTCAAGAATTAAAAAAAAAAAAAATAGGGGAATGTCCTAAGGAAGCCAACCTAGATATTGCCACCTGCCCCTGCGGCCAGTGTGATTGTTAAAGCAGGTCACATAGGACAGGCTATGAATCTGTATGATGGCATACACCCCACACACGGTCCTGAGAACAGGACAGTGGCGGAGCCCCTCCTCTTGTGAGAGACTGAGCAGAGTGCTGTCGGCTCCAGGGGACGCCAGCCGGCTCTGTATTACGTCCTCTGGGAAGCACACCAGTGCTCAGGGACCAAGGTGCAGGTAAGGAAGGTGTGCCTCGGAGCTCCCAGCTGGACAGAGGCAGCTGTTCCATCCAGGAAACACAAAAGTTTCTGAAGGAGCACAGGAGAGGTTTTGTGTACCTCCACTATGGAGACAGTCACGTGGTTACTGGCTGGAAGCGCAGATCTGCAGTGTGGCTGCAGGGAGGCCAGTGGGAGGGAGGGAGAGAGGGAGAACAGGGCTCAACTGGAGTAACAGGTGCACACAGTCTGCTCCTCAGTGCAGGTGGAAGCAGGTAGAATATTCTCAGGAGAATGTAGGGCCTCAGGAGAGGGTAGGGTTGGCAGAGGACTTTTTATTACAGTTTAAAAAATCTTATATGGCATTTTTAAAATTTAGTTTTTTTAACTTGTTATTATAAAGAATACGTACAGAAGGTTAGAGTTACACAAGTCAGGTGAGAGAACATTTCTTGTTGGACAGTGTCACCCCTGCCCTCACTCTCCCAGCTTTCCCCTCTTATGTGGCATTTTAATGACTTTGTGTACCTTATTAAGAATTAAAGTATTAGAGTAAGGAAAAAGTAAAAAAATTTTCATGTTTTAAAGAGAATATATAAAACTAAAATTCTTTTAAAGGATTAATCCGACAATCTTTGGCAAAGATCCTAAAAACAGGAAAAGTTGAAGGATATAACAAATGAGATATAAGCACTAATCTAGTAGATAATTCAAGAAAGATGACTGAGATTATTAGTGTGTCATGAACATGTGACGTGTTAGGTGTAACATGTGCAGTTGTCTAACCACAAAGGAAATGGACTCAGGCGTCCAGGACAGCCCTGTGGGCTGGCCTGTCGCTGGCTGTTTTCTCTGGCTCTGAAGGGATTGACAACTTCTGTTGTGTGAACTCCTAGAGAATAGGAAGAGATGGAAGGCGCCCTCGCTCTTTGTGAGAGAGGGCCATTCCCTGGCACTATGAATAGATCACAAGAGGGCAGTGACAGGCTGGCTTTCCAAAAATACTATGTGAAGTATTAAAAGACAAGAATAAAAATGGAACATACTGTAATGGCTGTCTGAATGTGAGTTAGTGACTTGATTTAACGTGACAGTGGTAGGGACCCTAGGCTGCTGCACATGTGCCCCTGACAGACCAGGAGTGACAGTAGAGTGGTTTAGGAGGCCAGACGGAGGGGCCTCCCCCAGCCTGGCTCCTGGCCCCAGGGCTGCTGGGTTCCCTGCTTCATATACAGCATCATCAACTCAGTGTAAATGTCTATTGCAAAGCAGGGAGGTTGGAAAGAACCTGGGAATGAAGTCAGCAAAAGGGATGCAAGAAAAAAAATTAAAATATAAAAGCGAAAATATGTTAAAAGCTGTTAAGAGCAACTGTCTTGACTTACGCTTGTAATCCCAGCTACCTAGGAAGCAGAGATTGGGGAAGATCACAGTTTGAAGCTAGACTGAGCAAAAAGGGAATCAGGACTCTGTCTCAGCAGTTAGGCCTGACACAGTGTGCACACTGGTGATCGCGGCTCTGCAGGAGACCTAATGGAGGACCCTAGTCTGGGCCCACCTGGTCTGACAATGAAACCAGTGTGGCCCAAGTGGTAAGCACCTGTGTAGTAAGCACGAGGCCCTGGGGTCAAACTCAAGACAGCTGTCAGAATAAAGTAGGAAACTTCCTGACAGTGCATGGGAGCAAGAGACTTAAACATTCTTCCTCATGGAGAATCAGAATCCTAAAAATTACAATTTCTTGAGATTGTTCTGTAAATTTATTGCCAGTCCAGTAAATACTTTTGTTTTCACAGAAATTGACCAGTCAAGGGCTGGGAAGCTGGCTTAGTGGTAGAGTACTTGCCTAGCATGCATGAAGCCCCGGGTTCTATTCCTCAGTACCACATACACAGAAAAAGCCAAACTGGTCAAAAAAGGAAAAATAAGAAATTGACCAGTCAACCCAAAACTTGTGTGGAGTAGCAGGGGTCAAGGAGCATCTGAAGAGGGCAGAGGCTTCTCCACAGATTGACTCCCTCAGGCAGAGGCTTCTCCACAGATTGACTTCCTACTGGCTTTCACTCGCCACCATTTCTGGCCTCATTTCTCCTTCAGGAGAGGGCCCTTAGCGTCTACTCTCATAGGTTCTGGGTATCCAAGCTTTTTCCTGGTCATGGCCTGTGTTGGTGTTGAGGTGGTGGCATTGGGCATGGAATCAGTCTGGTGTTGCAAGAGGTCTGTGTGGTGCCTGCCATGCACCAGGCGGTATGAGGGTATGGCCGCTCTCTCCTCTGGAAGACTTAAGTTTGCTTCTTCGTGGGAAAAGGCTTTGGGCTGTGAAGTCTCTTCCCCCCCCCCATTTGTTACTCACCCCCCACAGTTGTCACCCACTCTCGTTCCATCCTCCTTCTCTGGTTTACTAAAGCACTCTGCTGCCCGAAAAGCCTTCTCCTCCATCAGTGGTGGTTTTATTCGTAGGTGGAAGTGTGGGGTTACAACCTCCAAGACTTAGTCAGTGAGTTAAAACCCTTTTCTTTCATCATTTGTTGCCTTGCTGATGTTATTCCAGATGTCAGCCAAGTTACTTTTGGACGATAGGAACTTGGAGGCTTTGCTCTAAATTTGACACTTGCTAAAACGGTGGGCTTTGGTGTGGGAGAGTCACATGGAAGCAGAGACACTACCCTCCACCCAGGAGAGACGCTGCCCAGCATGCTGGTGAGGGGCTTCCGGGACTAAAGCAGCATGCGACCTCCACACCCCCATGTGAGGCAGGAAAGCGCAGACTTCTAAACCCCTGAACGAAGAGCCAGCCCCTTCTTCCCTTTATTGCTAGGGATGGAAGCCAGGGCCTGGTCCAGCAAACATTGTCCTGTACCCAGCCTGGCCCTCCCTGTTCCCTGGGAGGAGCAGCAAGCGCGTGTCCTCAGTGCAGTTGCCTCCCTGGTGTGAGCGGCTGCTGCTGCAGGCTGGGACGCGGGAGGCCCGGGGGCTGCTGCCTGTGCTCTCCAGTCCTAAACTGCCCTGTCCCAGAGTGTGGCAAGGCACTCACCACCTGCTTGGGAGGCCGAGCCGCTCCTGACCTCTGGCCTTGGTGCTTGTGCACTTGTCCCTGCCCCTTCCTTTGCAAATACAGAAATACCCCATGCAGAGTGCTTTCTTTTGTTGAAGGCCGTGGCAGCTGGGCCCTTGGAAACCTGAACCCAGTCTTAAAAATCTCATGTGATTTCTGTTAGTGATGCTTAGTGGAAAATTAAAATTCCCAACTTAGAGATTTTTCTGCTTTTTCCTTGAATGTGTGTCCCTTGTAAAGCTTTACTCTATTTTTTTAAATCTAGCATCATACTCCTCAGTGCCTCCACTCCCTCTGTATAAAATGGTTCCGATCAGAATTCTGTATTTACACACGGAGTGCAAGCGCACTGGGTTCTGACTGTCTGCGTCCATCCATTAGATATCTGCCTAAAGGAGGTGCCCTCTATGGCCGACAGCCTGTATAACATCCGGCTCCTGCGCGAGTTTTCCAGCGAGCATCTGAACAAGTGCTTCTACCTCACCCTGGAAGACATGCTGTACGCGCCTCCCGTGCTGAAGGTGGGCGCACGCCAGCCGCGAGGCCCGGGGTGGAGCAGCGTAGCAGCGTGTGTTTACGATGGCCCGGGGTGGAGCAGCGGAGCAGCGTGTGTTTACGATGGCCTCTTGCTTTTGCTTTTCTGTTTTAGCCAAATGTTATGGTTTTTATTGCCGAGCTCTTCTGGTGGTTCGAGAATGTCAAGCCGGATTTTGTTCAGCCCAGGGATGTCCAGGAGCTGAAGGATGGTGAGTGGCCTCCTGGGGCCTCCGCTGTAGTTTCCTGGCTGCAGCAGCTGTGCACTCATGGGGCCTTGGAAGAGCTGCGTTCTGGCGCCTAGGGCAGATCACCAGCTGGGCTTGCATTTTTGTCTGCTCTTGTAGTCCGGGCTTTGCTTTTTAATTTGGCCTAATACTTGTAGCACTGACACTAACGTTTAACTTGAAACCAATTGTGGGCCAAGTTTGTAAAAGTTGAGTTGTTCTGTGCTTATTGATGCTCCTGGGTTTGTTTCTTGGCATTATGAGTAACTATCAGTATTGTGACTTAGTCTGTAAAAACTGCTGTTTCTGCAGCTAAAACAGTGTTACAGCAGAAGTGCAGCCGGCCTCCCGTCCCTATCTCCAACGCGACCAAACGCAGCTTTCTGGGCAGCCCCGCTGTCATGAGCCCCGCTGACCTGCCGGCACCCAGCCAGCCTGTGGTGGAAGGTGGGCACCGGTACCTCCTCCACCCCGAAGAGCCCGAGTACCTGTGAGTTGCTTATATGTGCTATCCTAGTTCCTTTTTCTTGGTAACTTTTCTTTTTGTCAGTCATGGGGCTTGAACTCTGGGCCTGGGGGCCGTCCCTCAGCTCTTCAGCTCAAGGCAAGTGCTCTACCACTTGAGCTACAGCACCACTTTGGTTTTCTGGTGATTTATTGGAGATAAGAGTCTCATGGACTTTACTGCCTGAACTGGCTTTGAACCAAGATCCTCACATCTCGGCCTCCTGAGGATTACAGGGGTGAGGCTCAGGGTATTTTTTAAGAAGTGATTGTCATCATTAAGAGCTAGTTTTTACGGATATGTGGGCTAGATTGGCACTGAGTGGACGAGAAGATCAGTGGAAACCTGGGATGGAGATAGAGAAGTCTCTCTTCGGATAAACATGAACACATGCTGAGTGAGGGTGGGGCAGGAGCTTGTCTGTGACTCTGTCTGGAATAGATTAACACACCCACTCACACAAATACACTTATGAGATTTTACTGTGCTGAGGATAGAACCCAGGGCCTTGTACATGCTAGGCATGCGCCTCACCACTGAGCCATAGCCCCAGACTGGGAGTTGGTTAGAATGGAAGGTGAGAATGGCACTCAAAAGCCATTTTAAGCCGTGCCTGCAGCTGAGTGACTGCCTGAGACCCGAGGCTAAGGAACTGTCGATGTCTGGGTGGGGGAGGGGGGCACCGGCAGTGTTGGGCTGCAGGAGGAAAGACTAGGCAGAGGCCTGAGAAGCTGCTGGGGCAGTGCTGTGGAGAGGCTTGGTGTCTTCTGTGTGGGCAAGAACCAGTGGCACTTCCCTGGAGCGGCAGTGGCTACAGTGGCTCAGCCCCGGACCAAAGTGGGTTGTTGGGCAGTGCTGGTGTTTGAGGGCAGAGCTAGGGGGCCGGGGCCCATGCGGCACTTGCAGAGCACACGTGGGAGCAGAGTTGACGTTAAGCAGAATCGGTGTGACCAGGCTGACCTCTGTGACTGGTTTTCCTGTCACTGAGTTGTAAGGACTTCTCATTGCCCCTTCTCTTCTGCTCTGGTTTTAGTGAATGTGGCATGTACCACATGGACGCTATGCCGTGGTTTGTGACGTTTGTCTATAGACAAATGTGTGGGGTTCCCCTGCTCTGCCCGGCCCCCTGGGCTCCCCGCACCTCCCCCTTCTTTGCTCTCCTTAGAGGCACACGTGCTAGCTGTGGTCAGGATGCCGAGTGTGAGCCTCTCCAGCCTGCCCTCACCTTGCTCCTTGTCCTGGCCCCCGTGGCCACCCCACTTGTGCGCGGGCTTCCTGCGGGGTGCCTGGGGCTTGCACGCTGTGGTGGCGGTGCTCAGTGGCCACACTGCTGAGCCCATCGGTGCTGCAAGAACAATTGGTTTTCCTACTTTCATTTTTATTGCTCAGAAGGTAGTCTTGAATTTTGTTTGGAAATTGGAAACCGGTTTGTGTCCCACACTATCACCAGAAGTCAGCATGTTCCCCTGCTTGCAGCCTTTGTATTTTTTATCAATTTTATAGAAATGAATTCTTAGAGCCTTGGGAGTTGCTCCCGGCTCAGGAGGAGGTCGCGGCTGGCTCTGTTGTTTCATGCTTTCCTTTCCAATTCTCTCTCCATTTAGTGGGAAAGGAACTTCCGCCTTTAGCTCTTCCCACCCTCTATTGCCACTGAGGCAGAAGCAGCAAAAAGCGGCACAGGCAGAGGACGCCCCGGGTGAGTGTGGCACCCTCTTCTTCCCCTTTCGTTACAGCCTTCCTAGGGTTTACTAAAATAGTACACCCCAGTTCAGTTTTTATTCTGACATAGTCTTTTCAGTTATCAATAGCAGAATCAATTTTCATCTATATTGCTGTGGCTTTAGAATGTGAGAATGTTAACAAAATCTAAGAAGCCTTGCGTAGTATACACGGAAATGCCGGGGTGAGAACTTACGCAGTGAAATGGTGACGTGAAGTTCTTTACTGTTAGTGCAAACGATTGCTACTATACCATGCATTACTTTCCACTTGGATTACTCAGAGCTGTGTTGTCTTGATGATCTGCAGTTTCGTGGACAGAGTCAGGATTCATCTGCTGGGGAAATGGTTATTGCGGAAAGGCTTTCAGGCTCACACTTGGTTACTTAGCACGGAATGTTTTTTCTTCTTGTGCAGATCAGCGGCATCGATCTAACTCTTTAACCCGAGTCGATGGTCAGCCTCGAGGTGCAGCGATAGCATGGCCAGACAAGAAAAACAGGTGATTCTCTAGAGGAGCCCTGGGAGCCCGCAGGGTCAGAGGCCCTCTCCCTGCCCCACACGGCCAGCACACGATGCCCTGCCACCTGAGTTCTCTCGTGGGGGCAACTGGGTTTCCCCAGAGACCACGTTACTTGGGTGGCAGCACGGGGAGTCAGATGTTGCATTTCGCATGGTGAACAATGGCTCTGGTGTCCCCAGTCACTTGTAAGGGGGTGTTCAAAGAGGTCCTGGGACCAGAATGCTTGAACATCACTGAACTGAAATCACCTGTGGTTTTCTTACGTCTCACGTGTCGGGCATTTGTGTTCGCTCTTCCTGACTGGAATTTCCTCCCCTCCTCAGGCCGTGTTGAGGCTGGCTCGTGGATACGTAGTATATCCTGTGGCTTTTTTCTCCCTGTTTCAGGCCTGTGTCCCAGCCAACACCTTTTGCTCTCCACCATGCTACAAGCTGTGACGTGGACCCCAGCTCCGGTGACAGCATCAGCTTGGCCCGTTCCATCAGCAAAGACAGCCTGGCATCCAACATCATCCACCTGACCCCACACAACCAGCCTGACCCCGCTGCTGGCAAGAGTGACGGAAGGAGCCTCCTGAGCAATGTCAACATGGACGATGAGGAGGAGGAGCTGGTGGCCATCATCAGGACGGACGTGTCTCCCCAAGGTGGTGACCCGGAGGCCCCACGGGCCTCGCCTCGGACGCTAGGCCTGATGGCCACTGCCAGGTCTCCCCTGAGGCCGGCAGACACCTTGGAGAGTAAGTCCGATAGTTTCTTCCTAGAGCCTCTGATGCCAGCAGTGCTGAGGCCAGCGAAAGAGAAGCAGGTGACTACGAAAGAGGACGAACGTGGGGAAGGGAGGCCCCGGGGGGCCCCAGCCAAGAGGGCTGTCGAGGGCACCCAGCCTCTGGTGCGGAAGAAAGCGGCCAGCAGCCACGGCGGTCGTGACTTGAACAGGACTTTCACCCCGATTCCTTGTTCAGAACTTACTGCGAGCGTCGACCCCGCTGAGGAGGCATCACGGTTATCAGAAGCCACAGGAGAAGTGCATGGGGGGCCTGTGGCTGCTGGTGGATTCGATCCCTTCCCTCAGAGGCAGGCTGATGGCTTCTTCCTTCATGTAGGCAGGACTGACGAGGACACAGAGGGGAGGTTATACGTGAGCTCCCAGAGCCCCAGCTCCCACGACTCAGAGCCGTGGACGATCTTGAGGCAGGACTCGGACTCTGATGTGGTGGATGTGGACGATGCTGAGCAGGAGTTCCTGGGGGAGGACCGCGCGGTTCTGCTTCCCAGATACACTGGCGAGGAAGAGTCGGCCAAGCTGCAAGAGGATATGAAGGTAAAGGAACACGAAGATAAGGACGACGCCAGCGGCCGCTCGAGCCCGTGTCTCAGCACCACCTCTCAGCTCAGCAGCATGTCTGTGGCAAGCGGCAGTGTGAAGATGACCAGCTTCGCGGAGCGCAAGCTCCAGCGCCTCAACAGCAGCGAGACCAAGTCCAGCACCAGCAGCTCCCAGAAGACCACGCCAGACGCGTCGGAGAGCTGCCCGGCGCCTCTGACAACCTGGAGGCAGAAGAGGGAGCAGAGCCCCACTCGGCACAACAAGGACCCTGCCAGCCTGCTGGCATCCGAGCTGGTCCAGCTGCACATGCAGCTGGAGGAGAAGCGCAGAGCCATCGAAACCCAGAAGAAGAAGATGGAGGCGCTGTCGGCGCGACAGCGCCTGAAGCTGGGCAAGGCTGCCTTTCTGCACGTGGTGAAGAAGGGCAAGGCCGACGGCACCCCGCAGCCCCTGCGGCCCGAGCACTTCACCAAGGAGTACACGCAGCACAATGGCGAGGACGTGGGAGACGCGGTGGCTAACGCGGAAGGCTTTCTCAAGGAAGAGCAGAGAGAGGCCAGTGAGGGTCCAGATGTGGACAGAGAAAGCTTGACGTTTGCCCAGCTTCATAAGCCCAAAGACCCCTCGGCTCTGCCTGATGTAGAGATGCACAGGGCGCTCTCTGCTGCTCTCCTTGAGGACAGTGTGGAGGAGGAGGTGGTGGTGGACGTGAGCGAGGGTGACCTGTCCATCGAGAAGCTGAGCGAGACCATCAGCACGCTGCAGCAGGCCATACTGAAGATCTCCCAGCAGCAGCAGCAGCTCCTCCTGAAGTCCCCAGCGGTGCCCGTGCCAGGCTCCAAAAATCACTCCCAGGACCAAAAAGTAAAGGCCCCTGTCCACTTCGTTGAGCCCCTGTCCCCCACCGGAGCGACTGGCCACCGCAAACCACCCCGGCTCGGCCAGGGCCGAAACTCACGTTCGGGAAGGCCAGCTGAGCTGAAGGTTCCAAAAGACAGGCAGCCGGCCTCCTCCCGGAGCAAAACCCCAACACCCAGTGTGGAGACGCTCCCACACCTGCGATCTTGTCCCCCAAGCAACCACCCACGGACGCCCTCTGACCCAGGTGTGGACAGTGTCACAGACTCTGGTGGGAACCCCTCTGAGAAGCATCTCTTTGACAGTTACAGGCTCCACGATGAAAGCAACCAGCGGGCATTGGTTCTGCCCTCCTCCAGAGATGCTAATGTGCTCTCGGAGCAGGGGACCTGCCAGGAGGGCTTGGACGCAAGCGTGAAAGAGGCGGGGCTCAGTGTCTCGGCCGTCCTGGGCAAAGAGAATGTCCTTGTGGAAGAGCCCCTGAAGAGCAAGGCCAGCCTCATCGAAGTGGACCTTTCAGACCTGAAGGCCCCCGATGAGGATGGCGAGCTGACGGGCCACGAGAGCTCCGTGGTGCTCGTCGGCGACGGCGACCAGAAGCCTGTGGTTGGCTTCTTCTTCAAGGTAAGCAAGTCCGGAGTGCCTCTGTCTAGGGCCTGGGAGGCCAAGAACAGGAGAATTGCAGTTGGAGGCCAGCTGGGGCAGGAAAGTTCACGAGACCCTTTTCTTAACCCACAGTTGGGTACAGCTGGGTGCACCTGTCATGACGGGCTAAGATTGGGAGGAATCTCTGTGAGACTCCACTTCCACGTAAGGAAGCTGTGTGGTCCTGTGCCCGTGATGTAGCGATGCAGGAAGCCAAGTAGGTGGGTGGTAGCTCAGGCTGTGCCCGGGCAGGGGGAAGACCTTACCTCAGAACACCAGGGCTGGCATCGCTCAGTGCTACCATGCTGGCACAGCACTTGTCCTGTCCCCACTCCACAAGATACTTCCAGAACAAGCCAGTCTGTGGCTGCGGGCATGCCTACCACAAGGCCTCACCTTGCCAAGAATAGCCACAGTTGTGGGTAGAACACCGAGGCATGACTTGACCAGTACAGCTTTTCTCTTAGACCTGAAGCTTGAGTTTCATGTAGTTTTCTTGTTTTGCCTAACGTTTTTCTTTAATGGGGTTTCAGCCATTAAAAAATATAAAAATTGGTATGCCGGGTGCCGATGGCTCACGCCTGTCATCCTAGCTACTCAGGAGGCTGAGATCTGAGGATCACAGTTCAAAGCCAGCTTGGGCAGGAAAGGCCATGAAACTCTTGTGTCCAATAAACCACTCAGAAAACCATAAGTGGTGCTGTGGCTCAAGTGGTTGAGTGCTCACCTTGAGCTGAAGAGCTGAGGCCCCGAGTTCAAGCCCCATGACCAACATACATACATACATACATAAAAATTGGAGCTGGGAATATGGCTCAGTCAGTGGTAGACTGCTTGCCTAGCATGCATGAAGCCCTGAGCTCGATTTCTTAGTACCACATATACAGAAAAAGCCAGACATGGCACTGTGGTCTAGTTCCCAAAAATGGTGCAAAAAATACCTGGCTGAGATCTGGCCAGGGCAGAGGTTTGCTGTCAGGTGTCTGGCATCAGTCCCGGCAGACAGAAGCTTTAGGGGTGTCTTTGCTGTGTCATGCACGTTCCATTCTTCTGTAGAGATGAAGGCGGCGTGAGCTGGGCTTAGCTTGTGGCTGGCAGGGTTTGGTCTCCGGACGCTCTACACACGGGCTTCGGCTCACACAGACTGTGCGCTCCCATGAACACAGTGCTGGCTGTGGCCCGTACTGTGGAAAGATGCATAGTGCTTCAGACAAACTGCACTTGAGATGAGGTGTTTGGAAACTTAGACAACTTAGTGCCTTTTAGATTAGCATGGCTTCTTTTTTTATTGTTTTGCGTTCAAGAAAGGTATTTTGCATTCATGGTTTGAAAAGAAGAAAAACCGGGTGCTGTGGCTCCCGCCTGTCATCCTAGCTACTCCAGAAGCTGAGGTCTGAGGACCGTGGTTCAAAGCCAGCCTGGGCAGGAAAGTCTGTGAGACTCTTAGCTCCAATGAGCCACCCCAAAATGAGAAGTGTCCCTGTGGCTCAAAGTGGTAGAGTGCTGGCTTTGAGAGGAAAAAAAAAAAAGCTCTGGGACAGCACCCAGGCCCTGAGTTCAAGCCCCGTGACCAACAGAAAATGAAGAAGAAAAGCTGTGGACCAGCCACACGCTAGGACCTTCGGAGTGTGCTGACATGGGTGCTGACATGGGTGCTGGCCGGCTGGCCGGCTGGCCGGCTGGGGTGTCATTCCAGTGCTTCACTCTCACAGTGAGGGGACCCTACTTTGTAGGATGAGCAGAAAGCGGAGGATGAGCTGGCCAAGAAGCGGGCGGCCTTCCTCCTGAAGCAGCAGCGGAAGGCCGAGGAGGCCCGCGCTCGCAAGCAGCAGCTGGAGGCCGAAGTGGAGCTGAAGCGTGACGAGGCCAGGTAGCCCTGTCCTCTCCCCCCAGTGCCCGGGGGAGCAGGCTGGCTGCAGAGGGAGCAGGGGTGGCTGAGGCCGGCGGGCATGTCCCCGTCACAGCAGTCTCTCCTGGTCATCTCCTTTTGCTCCTCAGGCCTGCGGTCTCCTTTCGCCACTGCTAACCACGAGTAAAGTCTGTGAGGCTCTCTTGCGTCCTCCCCCCCCCCCCAAATGGTTTCCAGTTCCCAGCTGTACTTAGTCACCATTGTAATGCTGGGAACAAGATATTATGACACAGTCACACCTGCCCCCCTGGGTCTGCCAGGAGACCCTAGGAACAGGGCTGGGGCTGGGGCATCGGGGCGTGGGAGTGGGGCTGGTGGTTTGATCTCTGGAAGAGCCCTTCCAGCACTGCCTCTCATGAACCCATTTTGCTCTCAGGCGTAAGGCAGAAGAAGACCGAATACGGAAGGAGGAGGAGAAGGCCCGGCGGGAGCTCATCAAGCAGGAGTACCTGAGGAGGAAGCAGCAGCAGATCTTAGAGGAGCAAGGACTTGGCAAACCGGCCAAGTCCAAGCCCAAAAAGCCAAGGCCAAAGTCTGTGCATCGAGAAGAATCCTGCAGCGACTCAGGAACCAAGTGCCCCTCCACCCGTAAGGGGCACTTTATCTGAGCGAGGCGGGAAGGGGGTGCTGGAGTGCGCATGCATCCGGGGTGCAGGGAGGGGCCGGGTGGATCTGTTGAAAGCTTTGCCTGACCCTTGTCCCTGCAGCCGATAACTTGAGCCAGACTCATTCCGGCTCCAGCCTGTCCCTGGCCTCTGCAGCTACTACGGAGCCTGAGAGCGTTCACTCGGGGGGCGCCCCTTCGCATCGGTGAGTGCCCGGCGGCCCCTCGGGGCACCGAGTTCCGAGTGGGGATGGAGGAGTATCTTGCTGCTTTTCCCGAGATATCATCAGACCTAGATAGCTGCTCATTTTTCAAGCTATTGTGAATTTTTTTTTTTTTTTGGTTTCTTCCTTGGCCTACTCATTTTTTGTCAGATAGCAAAGGTACTGATTTTCCTTTAAGAAAAATAAAAGACTGTTGTTTATTGTGCCAGACTTGGGGCTGTTTAACTCAGGGCCTGGCTGCTGTCCCTGAGCTTTTTTGCTCAAGGCTAGTAGTGGTCTGCTACTGAAGCCACAGTTCTGGTTCCAGCCCTTTGGTGGTTAATTGGAGATGAGAGTTTCACGGACTTTCCTGCTTGAGCTGGCTTTGAACTGAGATCCTTAGATCTCAGTCTCTTGAGTAGTTAGGATTACAGGTGTACGCCACTGTGCTTGCAGTCACCTTTTTTACTCTGGGCTTTAAGAGGCCCTGTCTAGCCCTGAGGCCTGGCCCGCTCCTGTGAATTGTTGGCCTTTTGTCCTAATAGGGCCACCCCTAATAGGCCCTCACCCTTGCCCGTCCTGTCGAACTCACCCACGCCCTGGTGTTCTCTCTGAGCCCTGGCCGTCCCGTCACCACCGTGTTTCCTGCCTCTTGTCCCCTGGTTTCTTGTCCTCTGGGCTTTTCAAGGACTCCCACTGGAACCTGGGCCTGTCTGACCAGTTACCCACCTGGGTCCCCCATTCCTGTCTGCCCTGAAAGTGGGGTCAGCTTAAAGTCAGCGCTTGTGTTGGGGCTTTTAGCCCTGGCATCTGTGTGCATGGTGGAGGCTCCCTGAGGGGACGGGCGCCAGCGAGCACCTGAGGTGAGGCCACAGTGCCCTCACCCCCTGGTCTGCTGTCTGCTGGACCTCCAGTGGCTATGGCGCCTGCGCCCTCGGTGAAGGCTGGTGGGGCAGAATGCTGTGGAGGTGCGGACCCCCTCCGCCTCGCATCATGGCGGCCTTGCTCTGCGTGCTCTGCCGGAGCGCCCACGAGCCGCCAGCCTGAGCGCTTGCCCCAGCAGCAGCCAGGGGCTGGCGTGGTGGGAAGTGTGGCTTGTGTCTCTACTGTCCTTCTCTGCTCACAGAGTGGAGTCCTTGGAAGCCCTGCCCATCCTGAGCCGCAACCCGAGCAGGAGCACGGACCGAGACTGGGAGACGGCATCTGCAGCTTCCTCCCTCGCCTCTGTGGCTGAGTACACAGGTGACGCACACACACGCTCCTTACACGGGTGACAGCACGCACATGCGCATGCTTCTTACACGGGGGGTGGCAGGTGCACACACGTGCCCCTTGCACAGGTGGCACACGAAGCGCACTCTTCTCACATGGGCGACTGTGCACGCGCTTCTAGAGGGGGTTATCTGCAGCAGCCAACTACCTTGGTGTTTGCTCTTTGGAATGTCCTTAACTGGGGCTAACTGGTATTTTTCTAGTTCTTTGAGTGGAAAGCTGTGTGTGACTGCTGGTGGCCACCGGGGGGCACTGGAGAGCCTCTCCCCACCACTGCCCCCACTGACCTCCGAGCCGTGCTCGTGGCAGGACAGCTGTGCCTCCTTAGAAGTATTGGCTGTGCTTGTCATTTTTATAGTCATGAACCGAGAACGTGGACACACTTAGTTACCTTAGTCCTTTATTGTTTAACATTTATAACTGGAAACTTTCTCAGCTAGCTTTGAAGTGGTTTGTATTGCTCATTTCAAAAAAGCATGATTATCTGTGATTGAGCCTTTCCATTTTTTGGTTTTGAGAAATCATTGCTTTTGTGTGTGTTTATGTTTTATAACTAATATTGCAAATCTTGGCCTGGTTTCTTTAGGTCCTAAGCTCTTTAAGGAACCCAGTAGCAAATCAAACAAGCCAATTATTCATAATGCTATATCCCACTGCTGTCTGGCTGGAAAAGTGAATGAACCTCACAAGAACTCCATATTGGAGGCAAGTACCAAATTTCATCATAACATTTTTGTGTGAAATGAAAGGTGTTCATAGATGATGAGTTCCGTTGGAGTGTTCTCTTTCTCTTATTTTAAGTTGTCCTGTTCAGTAGCTACTGGATGTGGAGGAGAAGAGGACCTTATTCTAATTATGGGCAGTGTTCACTGGGCATGGGGGCTGGATGGCCCAAAGAAGAGTGGCGCTTCACAGGAAGGTGCGCTGTGGCTGCCCACGCTGCTGCTCAGGGATAGAGCCAGGTCCTCCAGGCAGTTCCTTCCTGCCCAAGGGTGTGGGCCCACATGGGGCGAAGGTGACAGGAGGTGACGTCCCCAGCTGAGGTCGGAGTGGGGGTGCAGATTTTGCAAGGCTGGAATATGAATGCAAGTGCAGAACACGGGGAGGTAGTTGGACAATCGACACAGTGTGGCTGGAGAGGGAAGGGCCCGGTGGCCCAGCGCTAGGCGTAGGGCAGGTGACATGCTGGTTGTCTTTGGTGTATTCTCTTACCTTCCCAGTGTATCCGCTGCTGGAGTGGTGTCTGACTTTTGTCCCTTTGGGTTTTTTGTCTGTTTGCTTTGTTTTTTGGTGCCAGTACTAAGGCTTGAACTTGTCTTCACTCAGCTTTTTTTGCTCAGGGCTAGCACTGTACCACTTGAGCATGCCTCTAGTCCAGCTTTTTTTTTTTTGGTCCGGTCGTGGGGCCTGAACTCTGGGCCTGGGCGCTGTCCCTCAGCTCTTCAGCTCAAGGCTAGCGCTCTACCACTTGAGCCACAGCGCCACTTCCGGTTTTTTTTTCTGCTATGTGGTGCTGGAGAATCGAACCCAGGGCCTCGAGCATGCAAGGCAAGCGCTCTACCACTGAGCCACCTTCCCAGCCCTCTAGTCCAGCTTTTACACTGGTTAATTGAAGATGGAGTCTTAGACCTTGTTACTTGGGGTGTTTTGTTGGTTGTGGGCCTTGAACTCCGGGCCTAGGCACTGTCCCTCAGCTCTTCAACTCAAGGCCAGCACTCTACCATTTGAGCCAGAGAGCCACTTTAGTTTTCTGGTGATTAATTGGAGATAAGAGTCTCTCGGACTTTGCTGCCCAGGCTGGCTTTGAACCACAATCCTCAGATCTTGGTCTCCTTAGTAGCTAGGATTATAGGTGTGAGCCACCAGCGCCCTGCTGCTTGGAGTGGTTTTGAACCATGATTCTCAGAATATAACCTCCTGAGTAGGTAGAATTACAGGCCTCGAGCCACCCGTGCCTGGCTTGCTTTTGTCACCATAAGGAGAAGATGGTGGACTTACCAAATGGAAAGATCTGGAAGGTGGTTAGGATTTGCTATGCCTTTCCCAGTTGGAAGCCTTAAGTCAGCGATGAGGAGAAAGGAAGCTTCATCATCTAGTGAGGGTGCTGACAGCTGACTCCTCCGGGCCCACCCTGCGAGTGTGTAGGACAGCGCCAGGGGCCGCGGGGGCCGCTGTGCCATTTTCCCTTCTCTTGAACGTGGGGAGAGTGCAGTGCTGGCCATGTGGCAGCTTGCGTGTGACGTGTGGGATGCTGCCTTCTCCCGCCCTCCGCAGCCCAGCACGGCCTTGCATTCCTGCCACCCGCGGGGCCTGGGCTGGCGGCTCATGGCTCTGTTTCCCTGACCACTTCATATTAGAGGTGCTTTTTTCCTTTCTCACCTGAACTTAGGTAAGGTCTCCATTAAATGGATACACCCTGATTGCCCAACATAGGAGACCATAGTTGATGTGTTAACGGCTTTCCTTACAAGGAGGTACCTGCCTGGATGCTCGCCAGGCCTGGTTCAGCAACCCCTGCACGGGGGGGGGGGGGGGGGGTGTGATGGCCATGTGTTTCTGTCTCTCCTGATGCAGGAGCTGGAGAAGTGTGACGCCAACCACTACATCATCCTGTTCCGCGACGCCGGCTGCCAGTTCAGGGCGCTTTATTGCTACTACCCCGACACCGAGGACATCTACAAACTCACCGGCACGGGGCCAAAGAGCATCACCAAAAAGATGATTGACAAGCTATACAAATATAGCTCAGACCGAAAACAGTTTAACCTAATCCCAGCCAAGACCATGTCTGTCAGTGTGGACGCACTCACGATCCATAACCACCTGTGGCAGCCCAAGCGGCCCGCAGTGCCAAAGAAGACCCAGACTCGAAAGTGACGCAGCTACAGGCACCTGTGGGGACACGCCGATGGCATCGTATTTATTATTCTCACCCTTGGGTACGAAGTGTGCAGAGTCACAGACCTGTTTGACCAGAAGTCCTTCCTTCCTCTCCCCACCCCCCCTGGCAGGGCTGTGGGGCAGGGAATGGGGGGGCAGACACAGGCTCCAGTGGGTGGCCATGAGTGCCCTGCTGCTGGGAGGCCTCGGCTGAGGGCCGCAGGGCAGCATGGTCCTGGGCCTCCTCTCCCCTACTTGAATTCTTCAGGATAAGATAATGTGATCTGCTCTCTGCGCACCCCCCCTCCCCCGCCCTGCGCACCCTGTTTGCACATTGCCCGGTGCCCCACGTTGGCTCCTCATTGGCCAGCTGCGCCATTGGTGATTGCAGGGCCAGGGCCTCCTCTTGGGTCAGAGTGTTTGAATGTCTTCGTAAAAGGAGTTCTTATGGAAAACCTTTTTCATTTGAAATTGTATGATATTTATTGACTGTGTCTACTGCCAACCTTTATAAACACTCCTAAGATTTCTGAAAAAAATCCTTGTTCCTTGCTGCTCAGAAAAAGTTTACCGAAAATATGAGTTCACTAAAGGCACTGAAATCTGAAAAGTCTGTCTTCTGTTAAAATAGCGCTTACAGATGTGGAGATGATTTTTGTGGCACGCGGTCGTGGGGTGGTGGGGGATGGCAAGCAGGCACTGGCTTCCTTCTGTGCCAGCGGCCGGCCAGCCATGGCTACCGCAGGTGGCGGTTGCCGGCGTTAATAAAGGCAGGTTTGGGTTCCACAGCGCGTTTCGCTGGGCGGGCTCTCGAGAGGCGCTGTCATGGGAGCGGGTCCCTTGGTGGTGCAAGTGTGTGCAAAGTGTGCTGCTGAGCACGCAGCCTCAGGTGAGCTTGGTCATTTTGTTCTACTGCCGCTTTAGGAGCCGTTGTGTGGCTGCCCGCAGCTATCCCGAAACTCCACGGGAACGCCACGTGGGTTCCCACAGTTGGCTGGCACCCCAGCACAGACATTCACAGGGAACTGGACGCCCCGCCATGGCCAAGCCACCAGCGATGGACTAGCCGCTGAGGGCCCAGAGCCACTGAGCCTAGTTTTGCACACGCCTTTTTGGGAATGTTACTTGAATCTCTCTCGAACTGCAGAAAAATGGATGATAATAGAAAAAGTTAAACAAGTGTCACTGTTGATGTTGGGTAGACAGACAGGGAGCACCGTGCAGAGCGCTGCCGGGAGCCGGGCCCGTGCACACTGCCTATTTCCTGTCAGGAGTGACGCTGGGCCGCGCGGTGCGCCTCTCCCGTGCTGAGCATTAAAGTCGGTGACGTCACCACGCTCTCCGTACGTGTGCTTCATTTCTCACTGTGTGCTTGATGTATATCACCTATTTATTTTGACAAAGCACTGACACATAATAAAGTAATGACCTGGCTCGTTTCATGTCAGTCCTGTGTGCCGTTGTCACGATTCATTCCGCTTTGAGACAAGGTCTCTCTCTGGCCCAGGAGGGCTTCAGCCTGAGCTTCCCAAGTGTTGGGATTGCAGGCTTGCGCCCCCGGCCTGGCTCCGCACAGTCTGTAACCTCACCTCACCCCCACGAAGTCTGGAATTGATGGTTTCTGATGAAGAGTTAAAATACCTTCTGGCTTGGAGATAGGAGATTGCATTCCCACCCGGCTTGGGAAGCGATGCTCCCGTAGCCTGGCAAGCCTGGCGTGTGGGATTTGGAAGTATGCCCCAGCGCGTGGCTGGGGTGGCTGCTGCCCAGGCTGCTTGGCTGGGTGGCTGAGAGCCATTCCCTGCCTTTTGCATTGGCAGAATAGCCAAGTGTATTGTCAGTGAGTTTCAGACTTGTGGTGCTGGTGATTTTAGGCCCTTCCGGCTGGTGGTGGTAACGCTGGCGTTTCGGGTCTGTCGCTGAGTTGTGCGTTGTTTATGCGTCCTGTGATTTCCAAGCTCCTAGGTGTAGGTGCTGAGCTGCAGATTTCCAGCGCTGGGAAGGTAGGAAGGACCTTTCTCGTGTCCCCTCAGGTTTCAGGCAGGTGGTTGGTTTTTTTCCATCCTCACCCTCTGTAGGCAGGTGCTCTGTCACTTGGGCCGAGTCTCTAACCATTTTGCTGGACTTATTTTTTAAACATGGTTTCGTGTCTTTTCTGGGCTGGTCTGGACCGAGGGCCTTTCACATACCTGGGAAGGCAGATGCTTGAGATAGAATCTAACTAAACTGTGTTCCTGGGCTTGCCTCAAACCCCAGTCCTCCTTATCTCCACCTCCCAGATAGCTGGACTTGTAGGCATGAGCCACCCAGCCCATCCACGTAAACAGTGTTGACTAGCTGTGCCACCCACCCCAGGTGCAACTTTATACAGAAAGCATCTGCTTATGGCTTAGGACACGGGGGAGGGGAGCTGCATGGAGGCTGAGCAGCCAGGGGTGGGGCTCGGGATGGAAGCAGTTTTTCGCAAGCCCTGGTGCAGACGTGGCCTCCTAGGGTGCATGCAGGGGTGGGGCATTGACCCGCGAGGGGTGCAGGGGTGCTGCTGCGGCGGGGCCTCGCGCCAGCTTTAAGGCCCAAGTCACACTCTTCACCTGGGCACTAACGGCAGGTGGAATAGCACACAGATTCCTTCTTGATTGTCCTTCCATTCCCTGAACCCATGGTGGTTACTTGGAAGAACATGTTGAAAGAACAATTTCTCCTGAGCAGTGGTGAACGTGGCGAACCTCTTACAGGAAGGTTCTGGCTTGGTGGGAGTTTTGAAGTCATTGCTGCAGGGGTCAGCAGGGAGGGGGCGGTGTCTGCGCTGAGTCTGTGCCCCCCCCCCAGCCTCTCCTAGAGGAATTGGCAGGGGCCACGCCACCGGTGGAAGCCCCTGGGTCCATGGAGGAGCTGTGGTTTGAGAGGAGGTTCGGGGCCGGGGTCACAGCACACTGCAGAGGATTCTCACCCTCGCTGGTTGTGATTGTCCGGGAAGGGGGGGGGGTAAGGGTTCAGGGGCAGAAGCTGCTCTGGCCGAGAACCCAGTGCCTGGGTGCCAAGTTCCTGCTTGTCTAGCTGTGCCAGTGTCACAGTCACCGGTGGCCTCCAGCGGCGGGGAGAGCGCCTCGGTCTCCTTCCTCCCGAAGGAGCAGATTAAGGTTAACCTCTCCGCAGTGCCTGTCCTCTGAGTAGCGAAGGATGTCTCGTATTTTGCCAAAGCCAAGAGCGATGGGGCTTGGTGAGTAGGGACGGTAGAGTTCACGGCCCAGCAGCCTGCGGGCAAGGCCAGGCCGGGGCCTCCGCTGCTGCTTCAGAGTTCACCACAGTTTCTATAGTGCAAATCAGTTTGTCTCTGACAGAGCCAGCTGGAGGGAAACGGGCAGGGAGGCTGTGCCAGGAGGGTCTAGCAAAATAAGCAAGGCGTTCTGGCGGGGATGGCCAGCCCGGGGTGGGCATGCCAGTAAGACCGTGCAGTCTGTGAGTCCGGAACAGGTGGTGGAGGCTAAGCCTGTGTCAGGACGCGAGGCTGGCGGGGACTCCCTGAGCAGGTGGGCTGGCGAGGCCGGGCAGGGCATGCTTGGCGTGTCTCCTAACGGCCATGCTGGGGACCGTGCAGTCATGGGAGCGGGGTCAGCGTGGCCAGTGGACCTCCAGCAGTGGGGTCATGAGCACCGAGGTTCGGGGTGGCAGACGCGCCTGAGGCTGCACACGTGCCCGTACTTGAGCACGCACTGCGCCTGCTCTGAAAACAGCCAGGACACGTGTTCCGCAGGACAGCACCACGTGGCAGTGAGCGCGCACTTCAAGAAGCTGCCCGGCTCTGCACCCGAGGGTCTCACTGGCCACCTGTAGAGGGTTGGGCATCAGCCTTAGGATCCTGAGCCCGTGGGCAGGACAGGTGTGGGTAGGTGCACAGGCCCCACAACTACAGCAGGATCCACCAGACAGACGATAGATGCCGGTCACCGTGCGGACAGGTGAGCAGGACACCGCCTCCCTCTGGGCCCCGAGCCCAGGCCGTCCTGATGTCCACACAGAGGCCACCCGAGCCACCCCATGGGCACCTGGCACTCAGCCAGTGGGCCAGGAGACCACCTCTACCTGCTGGGCTGAAACATGGAAAAGCCATGCTGGTTCCAAAGGGGAAAGCGTGCCTCGGACAGCGAAGCCCAGGGGGTCGTTAGAGTAGCCACAGCTCCTACACGGTGGCATCCAGGACCTGGGGCCCGCAGGTCCTCCCTGTGGGACAGGGTGCGTGTGAGGAGCCCCTGGTATGCCTGGGCCCACTTCCCACCTCTGCTCTTCCAGCCCGTCTCCTGCCCAGGCGGCGGGGGCTGGGCACCGTGGACTCCTTTGGAAAGCCCGGACCCTGGCCTGGAACTTGCCCAATCTGGTGTGATGTGGTTGTTGGTGGTTTTTCTATTTCCTAAGTCAGGAAGGAAGCAGCGGCTCCTCCAATATCCTGGGCTTCTGTTCCTGGAGGTTCCTGTCTTCCGTGCCATTCTCAGCCGGGCTGATGGGGGCAGGGGTCCTTTCTCCTGACTCACAGGAATTCCTTAAATCGCGCCCACAGCCCCGGTGTGGACAGCAGACCTGCGGGGCTGCGACTTGGAGAAGCGGTTGCTTGGACCGACACACATCACCATCCCTTAGCACTGTAATTGGCCTTGTTTGGATGAGCAGTGATGCCAGCATCTCTTTACTGGTCCTTGGTGTTTTCTCATTCTGTGAAATAGCTGTTTGGTTGGCTATTTTTCTGCTTTTTCTAACTAATTTGTCTTTTCATTCTCTTTACATTGTCTTATGATAAACAGACATTCTTAAGATTTATAGGGCTGTCTAGCCAGTGCTTGTTTCTTGTGTTTAATGATCTCTCTGCCACGGGTCATGAAGGTACTTCTTTTAATTATTTTTATTTTATTTTTTGTCAGTCATGGGGCTTGAACTCTGGGCCTGGGCACCGTCCCTCAGCTCTTCAGCTCAAGGCGAGCGCTCTACCACTTGAGCCACAGCACCACTTCTGGCCTTTTCTGTGTATGTGGTTGGTCCTGGGTCTCTCTCCCTTAACCATTAAGCCTCCATGGGTGGCGAGGCCCCCCAGCCCACCCCGAAGCCCACGCGGCAGCAATGGCGGTGTCCCCTCCCCACCCGACATCCTGGCAGCCTCTGCTCTCACCGGGAAACTGGCTCCTCAGGGCGCTGAGGCTAGGTTGGATTTTATCAGATTCTTTTCATGAGTTGAAATGGTCTTTATCCTGTTAAGAAGCTAAGTTTATTGACTGTTCCCAGCATGTAGATGGCCTTGTATTCCTCAGGTAAGCCCAGCTTGGCCTGGATGGCCTCCGGTGCACGGCTGGATGGGCTCGGCCTGCGAATGGCCCTCCGTGTGCACTGCTGGTCGAGTGTGCTTTCATTTTACTCACTTGTGTGCCCGGAGACAGCGTGGCTCTTGTGGCTCTTTCCAGTCCGAGGTCGGGTTGTGCTGGCAGTGTGGTACTGGGTGTGCCTTGCACGCGCCTGGCGGTGGCGCTGTCTCATCTGCTGTGGCTGAGGGCAGCGCAGAGGGCAGCCTGCACCTGCGCAAGGGGCACTCAGCCCTGGCCTCCCTGCAGGCACCGTCTTCTCCAGTGTCTTGTGTTCCCTCCATGTCTGCGTCCTAGTCCTTTCTTAGAAGGCAGTGGACACATAGGGTTAGGGCCGAAGACTTTCACGGTGCGCCCCCGTGTGGACAGCTGACGCTCCCCCGGGCAGGCTGACCTCGGGCAATGTCTCCCACGTTTGCATCGTGGACTCTGAGGCTCCCGGGGAATGGCCGCGCATGCTGGCCACGAGGCAGGTGTTCCTCCAAGCCCGGCCTGGCGGCTGCATCCCGAGGCCTGCTGGCAGAGGCTCCCTCGGGCCCCGGGGCGTGAGGTGGCTCACTGGCTGACCTGCTGGGAAGCTGGCGCCTGCCTGAGGAGCTCAGTTTGGAAGTGAGGACGTAGGCCTGAGCAGGCCCAGTGAGAGGTGCCTCAGTTTCCCTGATGAGTGGAGTCCTCACAGGATGCAGAGGAGCTGCCACCGTCAGCGTGGGGAGGACGGTGCTCCACTTTGTGTCCAGGTTAGGGGCAGGTTGGTGAGCGAATGTGCTGAGCCAAGGCCCAGAGGAAGCGCGGTGGTGGCACAGCCTGGCTGCGTGCCGCCCCTGCGGAACTGGCTGGTGACAATGGCGTCCCCGTGTCTTGTGCTGAGGAGGAGCCTGGGATGTGCCAGGCTGCGAAAGGGCGCAAGTGCGTGGGAGGCCTGCTTGCCATTTCCTAGTGGCCAGGAGACCCGGGGACCAGGGAACGGCAAACTGTCCCCCCCACCAGCCCCATGGGTGTGGATGAAGGCCCTGGGCTCTGGACCAGGGCTGGGGCTCCTGGTCTGGACAGGACAGGACGGTGTCCTTCCTAGCCCAGGGAGGAGCATGGCGGCTGCGGTGGAGGCCGCCGTGGCCCTGGTCTGGTCCCCTCTGCAACAGCCCCAGGCAGGAAGCTCTGTTCCAGACGATGCCTGAGCCCCACCCCAACCCCAACATCCCCTAGGCTCCCACCCACTGTCCCACGATGAGGTCCTTGAATGCCTGGTTGGGCCTGGGGCTTGGGTCTAGGATGCCATCATTCCCCGAAACCTGGCCCCAGGCTCTTGAGTCCTCAGTCCCCAGGTCCTGGCGGCGGGCGGGGTGGGGCTGTGGCCCTCAACTGGGGCAGTGTATGACCAAGAGGGTATCAGCATGGTGGCCAACCTGCACCACGTTTCCTGCCCAGACCCAAGGCAGCTCTTCCCCAGGACACAGCCCAAGGCCTGCCCTGCCCCCGCGGCTCCTTGGCCTGGGGTATTGCACCAGTGTCTGTTTTCTTTGAGACTAGGTCTTATTTGCTGTCCAGGCTGGCTTTAGAGCTTGGGGTCCTCTTGCCTCAGCCTCCTGAGTGCTGAGATTACTGGAGTACGCTACCACACCCAACTCTTACCTCACTAATTCACTAAACAGCACTGAGTCTGTGCTTGTGAGGATCTGGACTTGAACTTGAGCTGTAGAAGGAAAAGTGCTCCTGTGGCCATCTGTGCCCAAGGCCTGGGTTAAGATGACGGCGGAGGAGGTGAAGGTGGGGAGCTGGTGGAGGCCGGGGCATCGGGCGGGGGGGGGGGGCAGAGACACTGCTCCTGCCCCGCACAGTCCTCCCACACAGCATAGCATGTCCACCGACATAACGCAGCATGTTGCGCCTCGGTAGCGTAGCGTGTTCTACCCACATAGCAAGGTGACGCAAGCCACAGCACCTGAGACTCAGTGGCAGTATTTGGAGCTGCTTTTCGCTAGGTGAATTAGAAGTAAAAACCATAGAAGATTCCATGCTGGTATGTGTTCTGGAAGCCATGGCAGTGTATCAAGTCTCCCAGTCTGCTGCCCGGCTCTGTGGCCACCCTGCCTGCCTGGGGATGGCGGGGGAGGGCCGTGAGGACCGACCGAGGCCGGCAGGCAGGGGCTTCTCGGGGGCTGATAAATGAGCCCAGGACAACCAGAGAGGCCCACGTGTCCCCCAGCCGGAAGTGGAGCGCACAGAAGGGCATGGGGTGTGGGTGCTGCCCTCCGGCCCCTGGCCTGTGTGAGCACTGTGCAGAGCAGGTGCCCTGGTCCAGGCCTGGCTCCTCAGTGGCAGCCACGCTCCCGCCTCGCTGCAGCCAGAGGCCCAGGCCGCGAGCTGCGGGTGCCCTAGGGGACAGACCCTGACCCCGAGGGAGGTGCTGCTCTTCAGATGACTCCCAGGGGCCAGTGCTTGTCAGCAGTGGGTCTTCGGGCTGCTCTGTGTCCAGCCTGAGCCCCGGTGCCTGGCAGCCTGGCACCTGGCAAGAGGTGGCCACGGACACCGTGAGGCCTGTCTGGGCTTCCTGCTGCAGAGACTGGGGCAGCTGGCAAGGGCCCAAGGCCCGGCCTGGCACTCTACCCGGGTTTGGGCCTTCCTGCCCTCCCATAGCACCTGCTGGGCAGGTCCCGCCCCGGAAGGGGACAGCGGCTCAGGACCCACATCCTGTCCTGTGTGGCGGAAGGTGCCTGGGAGCCGCCTTCCTCCCCAGCCACCAACCCGGCAGGGGTCTGTGCGCCCTGCTGGCAGGAGGCTTGTGCCAGGCTCCTGCCGTCTTCTGCCTCACCCTGGTGGACACAGGTGAGGTGCACAGGGCCACCCACGACACCTGTCCCCAGAGGCAGAAGTCCTCCGTGGCTGGGCTGTGCTCACATGAGCCCAGGGTCCCCGCGCTCCCCAGGGGCACGCCGGCTTGGCGAGGCTGACGGGCAGCTTGCCGTGAGCCACCTGCCCACGCGCGTCCCCTGCAGTACCCACGGCCACACGTCTGCGGGGCTGTGCTGCTGGGCTGGAGGGCGGTCACCACAGCAGAGGCGCTAGCCCTTCACGTAGGGTGGCTCCGTCCCCCAGGCCCTGAGCGGTGACGCCTTGGGCAGGCAGCTCTCACGCATGGCTGCACGGTGTATCATTTAATAGAAGGTTCCAGCTCTGACAGTACAAACCACAGGCTGCCCAGAATCACCCGGAAGAGTCTGGAGCCCCTGGGACGCCGAGGCGCCCGCGCGGATTGTGCTTCTCGGATCAGGTGTTACAAACGAGGCGTTGCTTTGAAAAGAGTGAATCGGCCCATGGAGCCCTCCGCCCGCCCCACGGCCCCGACGCTGTGGCTGGAGAAGCCAGCGTGGTAGCAAAACGGCCTTTCCGCCTCCCGTGGTCATGGCACCCCGTGGATCTGCCCGGCCCCTCCACCTGGGGCTCTACGGCCAGCGGCCCGGACCTGCGCCCGCCCCTCCGAGTTTCTGTAGCCTGGAAGTGCGGCACCGTTCGCCGGCCCCTTGGACAGGTGGGGGCCTCACCCCACAGAGCCCAGCGTGGCCCCCGCCATGCAGAAGCTGTGATCAGAAGGAAGCGCTGGCAGGTGGCCGTGAGGACACCGCTGGCCCCCGGCGGGCGCGGGGTGCACGGAGGGGCCCCCCGCCAGGCTGCAGGCCTGACCCTCCCCCGAGCCCTTGCCGCCCCAGCCTGGCATGCAGTGGCGGTGCCCAGGCCCACAGTTCTGTGTGGACACCTGGCCTGGCCCCGGTCACGAGTTGCGGTGCATCTGTGTAGCAACTTGGGTCCTACACATTTATAAAAAGAGGTTAAAAACACGCTGTGCCGGCCTCCGCGTCTCGCTCCGGCCTGGGAGGCTTGTGCAGCCCTGGCGGGCAGCACGGCCCTGCGCCGGGCCCTCCCCGCAGGGGCCTGGCTGCTCCGCTCACAGCTGCGTCTCATCGCGGGTCTCCGGGTTGCAGGATGACAGCTTGTGGCTGCAGCTGCTCTTCCGGCTCTGGGAGCTGCTGGCCATGTGGGCCAGCGGGTCTGAGCGGATGAGGTACCTGCAGAGGACATCAGGGAGGGGCCTGGGGTGTGGACTCCTGTGGGCTGGCGTGTCTAGGACCCTAGGCCTAGCCCTGCCCAGTGTCAGCCAGGTCTGGGGGCCCACAGAGTGGGCGTGGACGGGGCCACACGGAGTGGGCGTGGACTTACACAATGTCATTGGGCTCCAGCCTGGTGTCGGGTGGGGGGTTGATGAGGACATAGGACAGTGTGTTCTGCTGGTCGTTCATCTCGTCTGGAAAGGATATGGTGGGGTCACCACAGCACTCCAGGGCCAGCGAGCCAGGCAGCAGAGACCCCGCCCCGCCCGGGCTCAGCTCCGCGGCTGCTCCCCGCTTAGCTCCGCTTAGGTGACACTGGCAGTGTGAGAACTGCGATGCTGGCACCGGACGCCCCTCCCCCATGCTGGCCAGCGCTGGCACCGGACGCCCCTCCTCCATGCTGGCCAGCGCTGGCACCGGACGCCCCTCCTCCATGCTGGCCAGCGCTGGCACCGGACGCCCCTCCTCCATGCTGGCCAGCGCACGCCCACCGCACACTACCCCTGTGTGCACACTGCACAGCCGTCCCTCACACACCCATACACAGCAACGCAGCCTGCATCCTGCAGACCCGTGAACCGTGCACGCGGCACTCATACCCGGCACACCCCCTCCCTGGAGAGCCTGGAAGGTGCTATCCTCCCCAGGAAGTGGGCTGGCACTCCCCCGCACTCCCCAGGCTCAGCCTTTGCTTTGGACCATCGCCCCGGAGCAGGGCCCCCTGCCCGCAGCACTCACTGCCCGTCAGACTCAGCACCAGCTCCAGGGAGGGACCAGTTCCTACACCCCACACCACAGCCGGCGGGCCATCCCTGTGAAATGCTGGCAGGGCCCTTGCATTTACTAGCCTCAGTTTACCCATCAGGTGATATCCATGGGGGACCCTCCCCCCAGACTCCAAGAACAGACAGAATGATGGTGAGCCAGGCCAGAGCAGCCTCCGCTGCTCCCGTCCTCTCCTCTCCTCTCCTGGGAAGCATGCTGGCCGCAGCCACCAAGAAGGGCCGTGCTCGCTCTGAAGCTGAGGAGGCTGCGCGGGCGGGGCCAGGGCACACCTCTCTCTGAGCGGCTGTGTGGGCACTGGGACCAGCTCACACAGCCCCATGAGCCGTGGGCACGGCCAGCTGCGGAGGGCCAGGGCACCTGCTGGAGTTGGGAGCCGGTGGCAGCCTGAGCCGGAGTCCCGCTGCACTGGTCCCGTGGCACGCACCTGCCTGCCTCACATGTCCATTCTGCTCATGCCGGAAGCTGAGCAGGAGGCGCGGCCTCCCCAACAAGCCCCGTGAGCTCGGGACAGGCCACGGGCCTGTGCCCTGAGCCCCGAGCCCCAAGCCCCAGGCTCCAGGCCATAGCAACCAGCAGAGAGCCGTGCTGTGGCACCCACCCCATTGAGATGAAAGCGAGGCCCGTGTGCACCCCCCACCCCCATGGCCCATGCGGCCAGCTCTGCTGTCACACAGGGAGATCTGACACGGACAAAGCTCCCAGCAGCACGGGGCCAGCCCTGACTGTGTTCTTTGAGCTGCTAGGAGGAGGTGGAGGAATGCCAGGCCTCAACTGTAGTGCCAGGGATGGGGTCGTGGCCAGTCATGTGCCACGGACTTCACTGCCCCAGGCCTGGAGGCCCGCTGGCCCCAGGCGGCCTCAGGTGCCCCTGTGCCTCGAGGCTGGAGGCGGCAGTAGCTGCAGGTGCAGGCTGGGCAGGGCAGGGCAGGGCAGGGCGTTGGCTCCAGGAATGGCCACTTGGTGCGGGCACCCCATGGACTCTTCCCAGCACCTCAGGCCTCCACCCCTCTCCCCCCAGCATGGCCTGCTTCCTGCTTGATGCTTCTGCCTCTGCTGGCCAGAACTCCCAGACCCCGCTCCCCCTGACTCCCTTTGGGGCCGGGCTCCTAATCTCTGAACTGGTGGTGACTCCAAGGTGGGGTGGAAGGCCAAGGCAGGGCCGGGCGGGGCCGGGCTGGGCAGCTGCAGGCCAGGCTCCTGACCGCTTCCTGAGGACCCGGCCCTGCTCTCGGAGGCTACCGGAAGCCTGGGAGCAGAGGCAGCACTGAGAGCCTCCAGCCTGGACTCCACCCGAGGCCGCGGCGGGGGAGGGACTGAGGTGTCTTCCTGGAGGAAGTGGGGTGCCCGTAGCCCCTAAAGGGCAGCACCGGCCTGCCCCACGGCCCCGCCCTCACCGGCAGGCGCTCATCCCGGCTCCGCACAGGCCCCGCCCCGCAGGGCCCCGAGCTCTGGGCATGTCACGGGGGTCCGCTGCGGCTGCAGGGGGGGGGGGACCTGCAGGAGGAGCGTGGAAGGTTCCCAGGGGACAGCCTGCGGCTTCGAGGCCCTGCCTGGCTGGGAGCCGGAACCCTGCCTCCACCTCTTCGGGTCCCTGCCTCGCCCTGCAAGGGGTCGGCTTGTCCCGTGTGGCCTTGGGAGTCCACCAGAGCAGAATTACCTTGCAAATATCCCAGGTTTACCCGATTCATGACATCATAGGCTGTTAGATTTGCTACGTCCTCTACAGAACACACAGGAGAGGCACAGACAGAGACAGAGAGAGAGACAGGTCAGCGGGCCGCGGCCGGCGGTGGTGCCGCGTGGGGGCGCGGGGCGGCTGTGCCCGGCGCCGTCCACACCCGACTGTGGGACCAGCACCGGCCGCCTCAAAAGCAAGTGAACTGCCAGGAGGAAGCCGCCCCTCCCCGCCAAGCTGTGCGGGGGAGCGGGACTGAAGGCAGAGCCGGGCAGGACTCTCCACCTGCCCGCAGCTGCTGCGGGCCTGAGCCTGGGTGGTCAGCTCCGAGGACAGGCGGCAGCAGGGCACCCAGGCAGGGTGCTTGGGGGTCACCGAATGTGGAGAGTGGCCTGCCACCCCAGCCGCGCCCAGAGGCCACGCGTAGATAGGCTGGTGTGGCCGCTCTGCTCCACTCCCCAGCCCCTTGCTCTCCCGCAGCAAAGGACTGCTGTGCGTGGCCAGCATGTCCACACACGCACACGGCTGGCACCTGGCACAGCCTGGGAGCCTCGGACCTGGGCCAGGAGGAGCAGGCAGCAGCGGCGGGCCTGGGCCGCAGTGGTGCTGAGATGCCCGAGGGTGAGCAGGGTCAGCAGCCGGAGCCGGGCGCTCAGGCCGCTCTGCCCGGCCAGCCGAGGGCAGCCCATCCACGGGGGAGAGGGGGCGGCTCGTCTCCTCCATCAGCTGGGGTGCTCATGGTCAAAGTCACATGCATACCATCCCATCACAAGGCACGGGGGGAGGAGGGAGGGGAGGAGAGAGAGAGGAAGAGAGGGAGGAGTGCGGAAATCCATGAGGCAGCAGACACAGCTGGACACGGCCAGCCAAGAAGGATGCGGGGGAGGGGAGGGGAATGTCGTGGTGAGGCCATTCACCGTCCCCCTAAAGGATGCCCCGCACTGGCTGCTGGAGGGCAGGGTGGAGTCTCCCTGCCCCTCTTGTGCCCCATCCACAGGATGGGTGGAGTTGACCTGTGTACCCCTCCCCACTGCCCGGCCCAGCCCAGCCCTCATGTCACAGGTGCGGACGAGGCTATGGCGTGGGGGTGTGAGTCATTTGTCCAGCCCCCCCCCGGGCCTGACCAGCAGTTACTCATCCCTAGCCCCAGGCCCCGGCTGCCCGGCCCTGGCCCTGCAATGGAGGCCAGGTAGTGTGGGAAGGGTAGACTGACAGTGGGCCGGGAGGCCGCGCCCCTCGCTGCCCCGCGCGGCGGCTGCCCTTACCGTAGCCCGTGGTGGGCAGCCCCAGGTGCTTCATGCGGTTCTTCACCAGCTCCGAGAGCTCCTGGCGCTCCGAGCGCCGGTAGAGGCTGAGGCGCTGCTGGTTGGTCCACTCGGCAGCCGGCGCGGGCCCGGCCTGCCTGCTGCCCCGGCGGCTCAGCTTCCGTGCCCACTGAAGGCTCTTGCGCCGCAGCAGCGGGTGCTCGGCGGGGTCGGCGCTGCCCGCCTGGCGGCCGTGCACGCTGCCACCGCCCGCGCCGGTCCGCACGCCCCAGGGGCCCTTGGTGTCCTGCGTGTCCTCACAGTCCTCCATGTTCACCGAGATCTGGGACTGGGCAGGGGGGCAGTGCTGTGGGCGGTGGCCTGGGTGGGAGATGTTGGGGCCCCAGGCGGCCTGACCTATGACCTGAGGGCGGGCCCTCCCTTTTGTGGGGCTGGCTGGGCCCCTGGCTTTGTCTCAGGATGGTGGCCGCCTCTCTGTGCCTCAGTTTCCCAATCTGTGGATGGCCCACAGGGATCTTTCAAGTTACATCCATGAAGGTCAGGGAGAGCTGGGGGTACGGCTGGCCCAGCGCGGCTCAGTGAGCCTCTCGTGGGGGGCTGGGGAACATGTGAGGACCCATCAGGGCGCTTGGGGGCCCAGGGTGGTGGGGGCCCCCTTCAGCATGGAGCGTGGTGGGGCTGTGGGCTGGGGCCGGGCCGGGCGGGGGTGGGCGGGCCCTGTGGTCATGTCATCCTCCGTTTCTCCTCCTCCGCAGCCCGCCCTCTGAGCTGCCCCCTGCCCACATCCCCCGGCCACTTCCCAGGGGAGCGGCTGGCGGGAGCGCAGGTGCTGTAAGGCAGCGTCCACGCGGGCTCCCAGGTGCTCACCTGGGCTCTGAGCTCATGGGGCTGCAAAGGAAACCGAGGCCGTCTGGGTCCCGGGGGCCACCTGGCTCTCTCCACAAGCCGTGGCCCCTCAGCCCAGGGCGGGCAGGGGGCAGTGTGGGCTTGCCCGCACCCTCCTGACACCCTCAGATGCCCCGTGCCTGTCCCCTCGGGAAGTGGCTGCCCCAGCCAGAGGGACACACATGGGGCCGCGGGGCGACTGGGAAGGACCAGCAAAGGCTGAGCCACCGTGCCCTCCCTTCCCCCGGGCAGGGTGGCAGAGCACAGGGCGGTGCCCTCCGGCTCCCGCACCTCGGAGAAGACGTGGCACTGGGTCCTGTAGATGCCGATGGGGATCTCGGCGCTGGAGGAGCAGAGCTTCTGGAAGAGCCGGCCATAGGTGCGGATCCACAGGTCATCCTCAGTGATCTTCATCTGCAATGTCGGGAGCCGGGTGGAGGCTGCTGGATGCTGCTCGCGTCCCCTGGACTGTGTCCCCCTGGTGGGGCTGTGCCAGGCCCCACAGTGCCCACCCCTCCCCCCCACGGCACTTACAGCGCAGAGGTAGCCCGAGCCCGGGGTGGTGTCGAGGCCCAGCAGCAGCCTGGTGATGGTGATCATGTAGTCCTTCACGAAGGACTGGGGGCAAAGCCAGGGTGAGGTGGGTGTGCCCCACAGTCTCCACCCGGCCCAGAAACCCTCTGGGCCCAGCCTGTCATGCCAGCAGCCAGACGGGCTGGGCCGCCGGCTCTGCGTCCGGGATCCACACAGCCGAGGGCAAAGGGGCGGAACACAAAAGTCCAAAGAGGAGCTCATGGCTGCCGGGCCGGTGGGGCCAGCGACTCCTGGGACGGCCAGGGCCGGGCGCTGGGACCAGAGAGTGCCCTTCAGAGCATGGTGCTCACACAGCAAAAGCGGGGCTCTGGAGGAGCACTGCAGGCAGGGCCCGCCTCCCTTCCCAGCCCCACTGACCTGGTAGAGCAGCGTGTCCAGCATGCTGATGCTGAACACACGGCCGGCGGCGAAGGGCAGGCGGAACATGAACGCCAGGTTGGACCCGTTCTCCCGCTCCCGCTGCAAGAGAGGACCGCTCAGAGGCCGCGGCCGGGGCCACAGCGGCATGGGCCGACACACGCGTGCGTGGACATGGTATGTGAGCATCTACACTCGGGCGAGCACCCGGGGCCACAGCGGCACGGGCCGACACCCGCGCGTGGACGTGGTATGTGAGCATCTACACTCGGGCGAGCACCCGGGGCCACAGCGGCACGGGCAGACACCCGCGTGCGTGGACGTGGTATGTGAGCATCTACACTCGGGCGAGCACCAGCTGCCCCGCAGTGCCTCCCACACACACCTGGACCAGAGGAGCGCGTTGGGACTGGGAGGGGCAGAGGCTCCAAGTGTGTGACACACTGACCTTCGGCCACCGCCAGCCCCACAGCTGGCACTTGGTTCTTGTTCTGTCGGTCAGCATGGAGGATGGCCCAGGGCGCGGTCCGTGCTAGGGAGCACCTGACCAGCGAGTCCCACCCTCAGCCCTTCCTCCTCCCTAGACCTGTGTTGAGCTGAAGTCCAGGCCAGCAAGGCCCTGCTCCCTCAGGAGGCTCTGGGTGCTGTTTTTCCTGCCTTTCCCCTCACCCAGGGTGCCCCGTTCTTGAGCTGTGGCCTCTCCCTCCATGTTCAAAGTCAGCAGCACAGCCTCTTGCCGTGTCTGGCCCTCCTGCCTCTCCCTCATGAGGACCCTGCGGGCAGTGTGGGACCCCCTCACACCTCAAGATCCTCAGCGTATCCCCTGGGCGGTCCCTTCTACCCGGGAGGAAAGACCTGCAGCTTGGGATTCAGACATGGGTGTCTTCCGGGCCGTCCTCCCACGGGCCACATCCCACAGGAGCTGGTCCTGAGGCCACGCTGCCACAGCAGTGCGGCCGGCAGCACCGAGCCATCAGGAGCCGCTCCCCTCCACGGGGCTCAGGGAGGAGAACGCAGCATAATCAGCAAACGATGCTCTGTGTCCTCCGGGGGTGCGTGGCGCTTCCCTGCTCCATGGACAGGCGTGTCTGAGCTGCAGGTGTGGACAGTCCACATGGTGAATCGCACTTGCTGTGGCGCAGCTGCACGTGCAGGCCTCGTGGTAATGGCTGTGCTTTCTCTTCCGTCAGAGCAATGCCAGGCAGGACACCAGAACCCAGAACAGTCCAAGAGCCCGAGGAGAGGAAGGGCTGGCTTGTGAGTCCCTTTCCAGAACTCCCCCTGGGCTTTGAACAGGGCCACAGCTTTTCTCTTGGGAGACGTCTTCAGAGTATGGGTTGGAGGGACTGGGGAGGAAGGGGGCTTCAAACTTATCCCTGAGATGAGACCAAGGAGCCCAGGCTGCCCTGAGCCTGAGCCACGGCCAGGGGGCAGCAGGGCTGGGGTGGCCAGGAGGGCAGAGCCGGCCCAGTGCAGGCCAGGCTGACCCCAGGTGACATCCGCAGGCTGACGGGTAGGGCTGGCGTGGGGGGCAGCGACGGCCGGCTCCCTGGCATTTTCAACAAATGCAATGTGTTGTTTTGCCATTAGTGTCTCTTCTCAGGGTGTTTGTCTGGACGTTAGAAGGAGTTTTCAGTTTCTACTGTTAACCCCAAGGCACTCCCAGAAGGAGCCGCATGAGTGGGCCCAGCCCCTCACCTCAGCCCAGAGCCGCTTCAGCCTTCCAGGCTGCCGAGGGTGGGAAGCGCTGGCCTCGGGGACCTGGGGCAACGGCTTTCTCTGTACCTTTCGGGGTTCTCTCAATGTGGAACGTGTCTGATGATGGGCATTTCTGGTAAAAGCAGGCCTCCGTGCATTTCTGCTTTAAAGTTTCACGCTGCCTGTTCTCTGTCTAAAGCGCGGGGAGGCTGACGTGCTGGGGAGAGCAGGGTCCGGGGGGGGTCCATGGCCATGTATGTTCAGTCGGGAAACTGGGGGGGCCTGGGCACCTCAGCCAGGCGCCTCTGCCAGCCTGGCACCCACAGGGGTGGCTGTGACCGCAGACCCATCCTGTCCGGCCTGGCACCCACGGGGGGGGGGAAGGGGGGGCTGTGACCGCAGACCCATCCTGTCCAGCCTGGTACCCATAGAGGGGGGCTGTGACTGCAGACCAATCCTGTCCAGCCTGGCACCCACGGGGGGGGAGGGGGGCTGTGACTGCAGACCCATCCTGTCCAGCCTGGCACCCACGGGGGGGGCTGTGACTGCAGACCCATCCTGTCCAGCCTGGCACCCACGGAGGGGGGGCTGTGACTGCAGACCAATCCTGTCCGGCCTGGCACCCACGGAGGGGGGGCTGTGACTGCAGACCCATCCTGTCCAGCCTGGCACCCACGGAGGGGGGGCTGTGACTGCAGACCCATCCTGTCCAGCCTGGCACCCACGGGGGGGAGGGGCTGTGACTGCAGACCCATCCTGTCCGGCCTGGCACCCACAGGGGGGAGGGGGGCCATGACTGCAGACCCATCCTGTCCGGCCTGGCACCCACGGGGGGGGAGGGGGGCCGTGACTGCAGACCCATCCTGTCCAGCCTGGCACCCACGGAGGGGGGCTGTGACTGCAGACCCATCCTGTCCAGCCTGGCACCCACGGAGGGGGGCTGTGACTGCAGACCCATCCTGTCCGGCCTGGCACCCACGGGGGGGAGGGGGGCTGTGACTGCAGACCCATCCTGTCTGGGAGCGGAGGCCATCAGTAGTTTGCTTCGCGCTCTCTGTCTCCACCGGGGATGGGCCGGCCCGGGGCCCTCAACTCTGTCCGTGCGGCGCAGACCCGGGTGGAGGGCTGCTTCTGAGGTCACGCGTGTGTGTGCCTTGGCTTCCCTAGCTGTCCTCGTGGCTCCCACCGTCACAGGTGCCCACGGCGGCCCGGGCAGGGCGCTGCTGTCAGGCTTTGGACCCTGGTCTCGGAGACTCTGGGGCTGTGGCTCGGGGCCCCTCCCATCCTGCAAAGCCTCACCCGCACGCAGCAAGGGGCCGGGCACTGGTCCCGGGGACCACGGTGCCAGGTGCCCCTGCGGACGCTGGCCCTCAGTGTTCTCTGGGCGGCCCCACAGATAACCAGCCTCTCTCCTGCAAGGATTTCTGCCCTGGCTGATGAGCTGGCAGTACTCAAGCACGTGAGTGGGCCAGATTCGAGTGGAGTGAACACGGGCTTGCTTTCCTCCACCGCAGCTTGTCCCCCGGCCCCGGCCCCGCCAGTCACTGCTCACGCGCTCGAAGGGGCAGAGCTGCTCAGCGGCCTGACGGAGGCATTGGGTGAGGCCATGGTCAGCAGGGACCACGACCCAGGACCAGCGCCATCACGGCCCTGAGCCCCGAGAGTCATGGACCCAGCCTCGCCCTCCATGGAGCCCTCAGGAGGCTCCAGGAAGGGGAGGAGCCGGCCCTGCACTGCTGCTCCATCTGTCCCGTGACTCCTCCCGCCCTCTGCCCCCACCTGTGAACAGCTGATCGTTAGAGCGACCGTGTGTCATGCTGGGGTCCCGTGTTTGGACCCAGTGGCTGCGGCCACAAGCCAATCTCACCAAGATGCCTGCTCTGCACTGACCACGGAGCCACAGATGCCTTGGTCTCTTGATCGCGCGGGTGTGGCCCTGCAGCCGGCTAACACCCCAGGCACCCAGGAAAACAGGTCTTCTGCGGTCTCCCAGCCTCTCGACGGAGGCTCGCCTCGGGTCGGGTCTGCCTTCTGGCCTCCACAGCCACCAGCCCCACCCACCTCCTGTCCGCTCCAGGCTCGACCGTGAAGGCTCAGCCACCAGGCCGGGAACTCACCTTTTCCAGTTTGGAAAGGGCCAGAGAGTAGCTATCCTTGGCGCGGAACTGCATGAACCTCATGTTGGAAGGGTGAGTGAGCTCTGTCGTGATGCTAAGGCTGGGGAAGAGCCTGGGGGAGAGGGGCCTGAGTGGGGCAGTGGCCGGAGCCGGACCCACAGAAGAGGCCGGGGCCAGGCGGCCAGGGTGGGGCCTCAGGAGAGCCCTGTGGCTGTGGCCCGGCCATGAGCCTTCGGGAACCCCTGTGGCAGTGCGGTGGGCCTGTGCAGTGAGGGTCCGCTGCGGTGCCGGGTGCTCACCGGAACATGGTCTGCACGTTGACGATGGTCTTGGCGTCGGCCATGTAGTCCTCCTCGGCGCTCATGGTGCTCTCCTTGTCCACCACCACCAGGTTGTCGGCGTAGATGATGCCACACTGCAGCAGGCTGTCCAGGCTGCATGGGGGCAGAGTGAGGCTGCAGGACTCTCCTGCCTGCCCCCCTCCCTCCCCACCCCCATGTGGCCAGGCATGCTCCCTGGAGGAGCCCCAGCCGCAGAGGCTGTGGAGGCAGCATCTTACTTGTCCACAGAGCCCTCCATGTAGTAGACCATGGGGAAGCAGCAGATGGCCTCCAGGAAGTGGTGGTCAGGCCTGCGGGGACAGCGGGCCTGGAGGGGCCGCCTGTTTCCTGGTTGTACCTCCAGGCCCTTGGTGGGGATGGGGCTGGGCAGAGCAGGGGATCCCAGCACCAGCGGACCAGCGGCCCCTGGGGCCGAGGGGCTGGGGTTTGCCTGGTCCTGGGGCAGGCCTGGCTCAGTCCACCCAGCGGCTGTGCAGCTGGGGGATCTTGGGGAGGGAAGTGCTCCTTGGGCCCACCCTGGGACTCAGCATGGCAGGGGCGGGAGGCGAGAAAGGAGCGGGAGGTGAAGTGGGAGGAGAGGAGGGAGACAGAGGGCCCGCTGGTGGCAGCAGCGCTGGAGGGGCGGGACGCAGGGGAGGAGGCGGCCAGCCAGAGGGCTTTGCCGCACGCAGGGCGGCCGCCCTCACTTGTTGTCCAGCAGCAGCACGATGGGGTTGAGCTCCTTGCGGGAGCGGTAGTAGGCCCGCAGCGGCACGATGAAGTTGTACAGCCCGTTGCCGGCTGTCTCCGCGGAGACGATGATGAGCTTGTTCTTGAACCCGTAGGCCTTGGCGTCTTCGTAGCTGTTGTGTTTGCAGCCCTGAGGAGTCACAGAGCCAGGGCTGGCCACCGTCCTGCCCACGAGGAGCAGGTGGGGCTAACGACCGGCGGCCACGGCCCCCGCAGAGGCCAGGGCGGCGGCGGCGGCGGGGCTGGACAACCGGCGGCCACAGGCCCCGCAGAGGCCAGGGCGGCGGCGGGGCTGGACGACCGGCGGCCACGGGCCCCGCAGAGGCCAGGGCGGTGCCGGCGCCGGCGGCAGGGCTGCACAGGCCCGTGCCATGCAGGGAGCTGCGTGCACGGCAAGAAGCTATGGAAACAGAAGGCCTGGTGCAGCGGCCACGCCTCCATCCTCACTGCTCAGGAGGCTGAAATCCAGGATCCTGCTTTGAAGCCAGCCTGGGTAGGAAAGTCCCTGAGACTCTAATCTCCAATTGATCACAGAAAAAGCTGGATGTTGAGCTGTGGCTCAAGAGGTAGAGCTCTAGCCTTGAGCGAAAAGAAGCTTGCAGACCATGCCAGGCCCAGATTTCAAGCGTCAGGTCCAAAAAAAATAAAACAAACATCCAGAGGAAACAAGACTGTGAGTTGACCGTGGGGAGGGACAGGGCAGTGGGGCTGGGCAACAGGGAGGGAGAGGGCAGCGGGGCAGAGATGCAGGTGGTGGAGGTGGTGGAGGTGGAGGTGGAGGTGGTGGAGGTGGAGGTGGTGGAGATGGTGGAGGTGGTGGTGGAGGTGGTGGTGGAGGTGAAGGTTGTGTTGGAGGTGGTGGTGGA